AATGGGAGTGAGAAGAATTGTACCTTTTATTAAAATCCTTCACACAATGGACAACCAGCAGTTGCCAGGATTCCACAAACAGAATATGGGTACAACTGCACCCTTTTGCCAAAGTCCCCCAGCAACTGGAGTATATAGCCTTGATACTGGAGGCAGTATAAAGCCACCAGCCTTCTTCTCCATGAATTTGTCCCTTTTTTAGCCATCCAAACTGTGGCCATCACTACATATTGTGGAAGTGTATTCCATAGTTTCATTGTGTGCTGTCTGAAGAGGTGCTTCCTTTTATCTTTCCTGAATCAGATAAAATCAGCTTCACACGGTGATCCAGTGTTCTAATATTACAGGAAATGGACAAAATATTTCTCTATACACTTTTTCTATGCCATGTGTAATTGTGTACATCCATCATGTTACCCCTTACTCATCTCTTTTCTAAGCTAAACAATTTCATCCTTTCCTCATAGGTGAGTTGCTCCAAGCCATTGATAATTTTAGCTGCCATTTTTTGCACTTTTTCCAACTCACACTACTGCTTTTTTAGGGTTTATAACCAGAACTGTACACTATCTTCTAAGTGTGGTTGCACCATAGACTTATGTAAGGATAGTATGATATTGGCAGTATTATTTTTAATACCTTTCCTAATTGTGACTAACTTACATGGAGCTTGCTTTTTTCACAGCAGCCATGGACTTGTTTGAAATCTTCACTGAACTTTCCATGCACAACCCCAAGATCATTTTCTTGGTCGGTCACCTGATTTCAGATCTCATCTGCTTATGTGTGAAGTTAGTATTTTTTTGCTCTGATGTGCCTCACTTTACACGTGTTTGCACTGAATGGCTTTTGTCATTTTGATTCCCATTCTCAGAGTTTGAAGCAATTCCTTTGGAGCTCCACACTATCCCTCTGGTTTTAAGCACCTTAAGTAGTTTGGTGTCATTAGCAAACTTGGCCTCTTCACTGCTTGCTCCTGATTCCAGATTATTTATGAACAAGTTGAAAAGCAGCAGTTATACTTTGCTGTACCATTGTTTTTTCTTCAGCTGATAATCTATGAGTTTTAGATGATTACCTGGAATAATAAATATCTCATCACTTGTATGCCGCTACTTTGTCACTGGGGCTGGAATATTTCATAACTGGAGCTCCTTGCACCAGGAGATTTGGACCCCTCAACAGCCTCTGTTGTTGTACTTTGAGGAGTCAGGGTTGTGAAATACTTTTCTTTGCACTGGGAATCACAGCATTTGAATATTTAATTTCTTAGGCTAACATACAGAACTTGTATTAAAGATAATAATATGCTGATACCCTCCTATATCTCATTTATTTTGACATATTCACTGCTCAAGGATGAAAGTTCCGATTTTGCTAGTGTGGTTTTTTAGGATTGCAATCTATGATATAGAATGTCACAGTGAATAGATTATTTGCTTTTCAAAATCTTTTCCATTTATATTTTTTCACAGTCCATGTAGCTCTTACAGCAGTTCAGTTAAAGGTGGTCCCAAGCCCAGCTTGAAGGAAACAGCTGGAAGGCTGCTCCTAAAGAGAATCTTTTATTCCTGAGAGTTACAGTAACTGTTGACCCCATTACAAACCTCCCCTTCTGGATTTGTGCAGGTGACAGTCCAGTTTTAGCAACTTCTGGATATTGATTATTGGATCCATTTCAACCTGATTTTCATAATTTTAGTACAGAAAAGACTTTGGATGCTTTGGCATACAACTAATATCAGGAAAGGGTAATATGTTAATACCACTGGATCATACAGTGGCTTTAGTAAATTCACTACAACACATTTTTCAGTGATCATATGAAATGTTTGACTGAGATCATACTGAGATTTGGGATTAAGTTGCATAAATATGCAGATGTCAGACTGCTCCATTTTTCTTTTTCATCCAGTTCAGAGGGTATAGTAGAAAACTGGAGTCAATAATGGTCTAGTTAAGGAAAAATAAAAGAAACTCAATCCAAGCAAGACCAATATCTTGCAGATATTGAAGAAAGAGCAGCCATGAAGGAACTAGAAAAAATCAAGTGTAAGGATGTTTTACTGGAGACCAAGGCCAAGAACATCTCGGTCAGTGATTACGAACCTTTTAGAGATCGAGTGCCCAAACTGAAACACAACACCCACTTATTTATCACGAAGTGCCAACACTACAATAAAACCTGAAAACTAAGGTTTTACTTTAGAAGAAACAACTAACAGCCAGTACAAGCAAATATATATATTCGTATGTCCTTGGCAGCACACTGACTGGCAATGCAAAAGCTTGGATGAGTAGCGGATAATGAGACACGGCATATGATGTCATTTCCTTGCACGGCTATTCCTTTCTGAGCATGTGTATGGCCCTTATGTGCGCTGTTATCCGATGCTCAGCTGCTGGGGCAATGCTGGGGTAACTTGGCTCGTATGCTGACACAGAGGGCTCTTTGTAACTGCTGCGGCATGCATGCCACAGGTTCACCACCACTGGTCTAACCCTACCCTGCTGCACCTAGAGGGTGAAAGTTCCATTGAAAAGAGGGTGATTTTGAAAAAGCCTTCCTTGAGTAGCTTTTTCTGCACAGCTCACCATTTCTGCCCATTCTAAAAACATTCCAACCATCACAATCATGCCAGGACACCTCATTTTTCTAACCTTAACCCTACCCTGGTACACACCCCCTAACCCTAATACAGGGTGAAATTTCCTTTGGAAACAATGCGATTTTGAAAAAGCCTTTTTTGAGTAGTATTTTCTGCACAACTTACCATTTCTGTCCCTTGTAAACACATTCCAACCATCGGAACCATGCCAGGACACCTCATTTTTCTAATCCTAAGCCTGTCCTGATGCACACCCCCAACCCTAAGAGAGGGTTAAACTTCCATTTTTTTGTGCAGCTTATCATTTCCACCCATTCTAAAACACATCCCAACTATCAAAATCATGCCAGCATGCTTCGTTTTCCTAACCCTAACCCTACCCTGGTGCACACCCCTAACCCTAACGGAGGATGAAAGTTCCATTGAAAAGACAGCCATTTTGAAAAGGCCTTCCTTGAGCAGCTTTTTATTCGCAGCTCACCCTTTCCACCCATTCTAAACACATTCCAACCATCAAAATTCTGCCAGGACACCTCGTTTTTCTAACCCTAACCCTACCCTGGTGCACACAGCACCCACTAATACAGGGTGAAGCTTCCTTCAAAAAGGGGGCAGTCTTGAAAAAGCCTTCCATAAGTAGGTATTTCTGCATAGCTCACCATTTCTGCCCATTCTAAACATATTCCAACCATCGGAATAATGCAAGGACACCTAGTTTCTCTAACCGTAACCCTACCCTGGCACACAATCCTACCTTGTTGTTGTTGTTAGTCGCGAAGTTGTGTCCGACCCATCGCGACCCCATGAACAACATTCCCCCAGGCCTTCCTGTCTTCCACCATCCCCCGGAATTCACTTAAGCTCACACCAACTGCTTCAGTGACTCCATTTGTCCACCTCATTCTCTGCCGTCCCCTTCTTCTTTTGCCATCTATTGTTCCCAGCATTAGGCTTTTCTCTGGAGAGTCCTTCCTTCTCATTAGGTGGCCAAAGTATTTGAGTTTCATCTTTACTATCTGGCCTTCTAAAGAGCAGTCAGGGTTGATCTCCCCTAGGACTGACCAGTTTGATCGCCTTGCAGTCCAAGAGACTCGCAGGAGTCTCCTCCAGCACCACAACTCAGAGGCCTCAATCCTTCGGCCCTCAGCCTTCCTTATGGTCCAGCTTTCACAGCCATACATTGCAACTGAGAAAACCATAGCCTTGACTATACACACTTAACAGACAATATCACACTCTCACTAAAAGATCAGGTTCATTGGATGGGGCTGTTTTTAAATCTGGTCTTGTCCCTTGGAAGGCTTAAATGGTGTATAATTCACTTTTAACAAATTTGGTATCTTAGCTATATTTCCTGGTTAGGAAGGTTCTTGCCACAATTATCTGCACTTTGGTAACAGCATAGTTCAATTACTGTATAAGTTGTTGGTGAGGCTACCTTTGAGGCCTATATGGAAATTTCAAATACTGTATAATGTAGTCATGAGATTACCTTGAAATCTTTGTTTTAGTTGTGGGGGAAGTATGCAATATATTTTATAGCAGGCAAAGTTTTGTAACATGTATTTATAACAAACTGTTAAAGTTGATAAAATGCAAATGAATAGAATCAACAGAGTATTTAACACTATGATTTCCCAAACATATTATGCACAATCCAGTTTATGAACTTTGGGTGTAGAATGAAAATAACAGTTAACAACATCAGTGAAAATGGTGAAGAACATACCCTAGCAGTCCTTCTAATGCTTTTAATTCCCCATGGCACTTACTGGACACTTAGGAAACTTCTGATTTAAACAGACTGATATCAAATATGTAGAAAGAACAGTTGCAACAAGTCAATGCATTGATTTTATAGAGTACAGTAATTGAGAAAATGTGTACTGTATCTCTTTGCACTCAATAGCTTTTGTAAATTGTGCATTGCTAAATTATGTATCTATATCAAGGGATCGTGATTCTGGATCTATGTAGACTTGACAGTGGTTGATTCCATGATCCACAGTCACTCAGAGATAAGTTTGAAGTTAGGTTGGGACTGATGTATCAGCATCAGGATTGGTGGGTAGGTATTTAGGCCTCCTATACCAGCTTCATGTGTATTTCTGTTTTCTCTTTATCTCTTTAGCAATTTCTCAGATTTATGCATGCAAGGGTAAAAAACAATCTACTGGGAAGAACTGCATTCTTTGTGCTATACAATGTTCCCCAGCAGTACATTTACTCAGGAAGCATTAGCAGAGGTGTGTGTCCTCGAGATTAAAAAAGGAATGTTGCTGTACAGAAGGCAGCAGGAGTGTTGAGGCCAATATTATTGAAGAACTTGTGTCACGGTAGTCATATTTCCACTTAAGAATTCTTTGCTTTTTTCCCTTCTTACCATTGCAGACCATTTTTCCAGCATGCGTATTATCAGCAAAGATGTCCCCATTAATAGAAAAAATTAGTGATCACAAAGACTTCAAGAAGCTCCTGAGAACACGGAATAATGTATTGGTGCTCTATTCCAAATCTTGTGAGTATACTTCATTTTAAGAACATTTTAAGAATAATTTCTACTTTAACAAGTAATAACTTTTGACTGCTTAGATGAAAGATGAGAAAAATAGAAAAGATTCTTTCCTCCACAAGTTGAACCTGGATTGCATTGTAAATATATATTGTGTGTCAAGTAAACAGCTCTACACATTGGTATGAGCATTTGCTGATTAACTATAGACTTCATTTCAAAAAATAATCCATTTTTCTCTTGCTGTTTCCATCTGTGCCAACACCTTACAAAATAACTTTTTAAATTTTATAACCTTCATAAACATAACAATATAGTACTTCCATTTTATATGAGCAGATGTATAATGAGAAAGAAACGCATCTGGAGACGGATCTGGGGTGCTTTCAGTTTAACATCACACACAAGTCATCCTCACAACTGTTTTGCCTCAAGGCACACTTCATATCATTCTTCCCCACTTTACTTTCTTACATGCTAAGGATGTTTCCAGTTAAAGCTATTTGCTCCTAAATTTTCCTTCCTCTAACTTTATATAAAAACCGTGTGAGCTGTGCACAAGCTTCCTGCATCTCCTTCAGTTGTTTTAAGTGCCTCCCTGCATCTATAGTTGGCAGCACCACCAACATTTGTTTATAGCTTTCTGTTTGTTCACTTCTTTTCCTCCCTTGTCCTTTCAGTCTTCTTTTGCTTCTCCTTGCCTTGGAATACCCATTTTAACTACTTGTCTGCTAGCTAGCCACCCACCCACTTGCTGTCGCTTTCTGTTACTATTAACTTCTTTCTCTTACAATCTACTTCTCCTCCTCCTGCCTCCACCCACTTTTCTAAGCACGGATTTCCTTCTGCTTTTTATTGTCTTCTGTGTTGGATTGTGAGAAGCTCTTGGCAAGATGATTTGCAAGAGCTTGGCCCATTTAGGGCACTGTGTGCAGAAAGGCTAATTATGCCTAATGTTTCATGGCTGTGATATTTGCTTGGCCAGAGGATGTATGATCTGTGCATTAGCTCAGAAATTAGATCAAATTGGTGTCTTTAGTGCTTCCTTATTCCCCTCTCTCCCTAGTCAGCCTTCAGATGAGGAAGGAGAGCCAGCCAAGAGATGTTAGCTTTTAAAACATATTATGCACTTAGACTTCCATCCTCAAGTTGCTTATTCTGCAGGGGCTCCTATAGTTCAGTGAGTAAAGGTTGCTTCTGAGTAGCTGATTTGAGGAGGGTTTCTTTTGACAATTAGGCTTTTTTACATCTGAGATTTAGAATGAATAGCCTTGTCTGCAACACAATTAGATTAAACAATCTAACTGTTAACAGTTCACAGAATTGTAAGTGACTGATCATTTTTTCCTGCTGCCTTTCTTTGCTAATTTCTCATCATTTTGTGGGGGCATTTTAATACCCAGAACCATTTTTGATATCTGTAAAATCAAAAAAATGCTTTAAACTTAAAGTATTAAGAAACTATAAAACGTATTGTAAAACTTTACTAAACACTGCCATTTTGACCTTGTGGGGTGTTTTTCTAGACCTGTAACAATTTCTGTAGTGATGCTCTACCCCCCCCCCCCCATTTGTGGCAATCTACTTGACACTTGGAGTACTTAAGCCTCATTCCTCAGACAAGTGTTTCTTAGAAAAAAATCCATGGGAACATTATATACCCTCAAATCCCCATTTGGCTTAAGGGATATAAATGTTCAGGGTACATTTGTACCTTGGACTTACTGAATTAATTGGCAGATGCTTGATCCAGACATTCTTCTAAACCATAGTTACAGAAGTTGAACTATGCTTCTAATAGTTTGATATCTAAATTGACAAATCATGGTTTGAAGTTCAGCCAGCAAAGTAGAGTTGACAGCCATGGTTTGAAATGGGTTTGAATAACATGGATTATGTGACCTATGGTTTGATGGAATGTGGGAATTGACAAACCATAGTTTTGACCATTGCTCCTCCTACAGATTGTACTGCTGAGTAGACAGAAAATGAAAGTGAATCGTTAGTTTTAAAGAATGATTTCACAGAATCATAGAATAGTAGAGTTGGAGGTGGCCATGAAGGCCATTAAGTCCAACCCTCTGCTGTTGCAGGATACCATGTTACACCATCCCACTCAGATGGCTGTCCAATTTCTTTTTGAATGCCTCTAGTGTGGGAGAGCCCACCACCTCTCCAGACAGCTGGTTCCATTGTTGTATTGCTCTGACAGTGAGGAAGCTTTTCCTGATGCCCAGCCTAAATCTGGGTTGTCACAGCATGAATTGATTATTCCAAGTCCTATACTCTGGCATCAGCAAAAAGAGATCTTGACCTTCCTCTTTGTGACAACCTTTGAGGTACTTATAGAGGGATATCATGTCCCGTCCCGTCCCACTGGCTCCCAGTCTTCTCTTCTCAATTTGTATGTAAGTTTACAAGCACAAATCATAGTTTGGTTTTTCAGCTGCCCTTAGTACAAACCAGGCTTTGGAGTGAGGTCTGAATTTAGCCAATGTTAAAAAAAATCAACAATACTCAATGTTCTTTGATACTTGTGCAAATGGAGACACTTATAAAGAGTTAACAGTGAAGAGCACTGGTAAACATCACTTCAGAGTAGCTTCTGGACAACTGAGGAACGATACATTGCTAGATGTTGTCTTTTGTCATAGCGCTATCGTTTATGCATAAAGATAATAAATGTCAGTTGAGATTTTACATGAATTAGCGATCATCTATGTTCTATCATGGTTATATCTGTTCCTTGGAATAGTTTCTCTAGAGAGGCTTGTGGTGCCTCATTGCTTTATACCAATCACTAACATGTGAAGTTTTCTAGGCTACTGCCTAGGGCTTTAGTTTTGCTGCCCTAGTTGTATGATTCTTCATTTATACTTTAATATTTTTAAAGATTAAAATGTTTTCTGTAGTGATGTATGAGGAATCTATTTTGGGGCTAGGAATCTATTGGTTTCCCTGGGTTCACTTTCCCAAACTTCAGTCCATTTGGTCACAGCTCCAAGTTCCTGACAAATGCGCCCAGAACTCTCATGGTGTTCAGCAGGAATTGTGTCATGCACACATGCACTCTGACAAGATTTCCAGGCACACATGAGAAACAGCCTTTTTGGTGGGACCGACAGCTCAGACTGTGAGGATGATGTGGAACTGGCTGAAGCAGACGAGGCTCAGCGCGCACACTCTGATGACGGAACTGTCGTTGCAACAGACAGGCCTGCGCCTGCACACTCCCCACTCAGTGCCAGTTCGAGCCTGCTCTGGATGGAGGTGGCTCAAGGACACCCATGGGGCCCAGTCTCCCTCCCACCTGTGGGCATGAAGCAGGTGAAGGACGGGAGGGAGAGATTGGAATTGGGTAGTCTCTCGGATGGAGAACGCCAGCTTCCTGCCAGCATGGACCTGACGGCCCACCAGCACAGCCGCAGGTTGGCCCAGTTAGGGGCTCAGAGTGCAGAACAGGCGCACCTGGTTCCACAGTGCCCCTTCTTCCGGAGACAGGCCCCAAAATGTTCATAAGCAAAGATTTGGGTAAAGGGGGCAGAGAGGGGTCAACACTTTTGCATGCTCAGAGGCTTGTGAATGCTTAGTTTTGTATTAGAATGAAGACAATTACAAGAAGTGCTGGAGAGACTGTCTTGCTTGGGAGGGGATGCCTAGCTCATGCCAATTTGAGCCCTGTGTGAACACTGAACAAGTGGCATTCCTCTTCTGTATTGTGTTCAGCAGCCTTTGTCTGCACTGGCCTGTAACACAGAAGAAGGTTGCCAGTTGTGCAGTCTTCATTCTGTGCGTGCTGGCTGACTTCCTCTTGGCTTGGCTCTGCTCGCTTTCTCAGACAGGGCCAAGCATGAGAAGTCTGCGAATGCCAGAGGGATGGATTTTGTGGAGTTTTGTCACAACCTGAGTTCTATGCCACTTTAGTCTTATTTTAGGAAGTGTGTATTCCTGTGTGTGCTTGCATGGAACTTATACCCAGTGTCTGAATTCACATGACATGGCAAAAAACCCTGTGCTGTTTCCATGGTGCAAGGATTTTTGCTTGAATCTGCCAGTCACGTGATTAATCATATACTTCACTCTCTCTTCATTCTCTCAGCCCTGGTATAAACCTGTCCACTTGTGTCCAATTAGGGTGATTTCCTCCTGAGCATAGATCATATGTTATGCCTACATATTAATGCCTGAAAGAAGCCAATATGTGGTTTACAGTGGGTTCAATATGCCTGAATAGTTAATAAAAATAAATATATGGTAGTCATCTCACACAAACATATCTTAAGCATCATCAATTTGCGGGTATTACCCTGATGTGAAAACATGTTGCCTTCCTTTGCAATATTAAATACACCTTGTTTGTGAGAAAGAACCATTTTAAGTGGAGAAGTAGGTGCTAATTATGAGTGCTCTGCACATCTGCCAAGCTGCTCCTCACCTACCTGTGGTGCATTTTTTATTGTGCTCGCTTCATACAGTATGTGAGCTGCCTCTGGCACGCTTTGGAATCACACGTCTATGTACAAGTGTTGGAAACTGTGGCTTCCTGCCAGTTGTTTCTCTGGATTTTTCCCCTCTGACCACACTGTGACTGCAGCAGAGGTGTCTGTTCACAGATTTTAACAAAGTAACCTTGCTGGTGACAGGAGGAGATGGGATGAAAGTGCTGCCCCCTCCACCTTGCAACTGTAAGCTTAAATTGAAGTATGGAGGTCTTAAGGAAGTGGTGCTTGTTATCTCTAAAGGTCTATAAATTGCATACAATGAGTGACCATGCGACTTAAGGCACAGTCCTGTGGGTTGCACCTTCAGTGCAGGGTGGAAGGAGCAGCAAAGGTGTTCTCTGACTCCTTGCACTTTCCCCTCTCCGTTTCCACTAAATGGCTGTTTTGTATGTCTAGATAGGGCACTGGAGTTGAAAGGGAAGGAAGGTTCAGGATAGCTTGTATACTGGTCTTTACAGTTTTCTTGCCTCCCTGCCCACCTGAATGCATCCTTTCCCTAAAAGTTGAGTTTGTTTGTTTGTTTATTATATTTGTAACCAGCTTTTTCTCCTTTCCTGGAACTCAGGGCTGCTTACAAAATTCTCCTCCTCCTCCTCTCAGTCTTAATTTCCAAAACCGAACCTGTGAGTCAGGTAGGACTGAGTCTGAGACTAGGTCAAAGTCACCTAGCTGGCTGCATAACTGAGTGGGAATAGAATCCATACCACCTGCATCCCAGTCCCATGCTCTTAACCATCAGACTGGCTCTCCAACAACTACAAGTGGGCAGTGGGGAGAATTCCTTGCTGTAAAGTTAGAACTCTAGGAGAATTATCCTGTCTCCCCACCTCTGGTGGTCTCAAGGGGTCAAAGGATCACTCTTAATTGCTGTTAAATTATTCATAGCATTTATATAAGGCAAGTTCTCTTGTTTGCTCCATTTTTCCATAGCAAATTGGGTATAAAAGGGTTTGGAACATGGTTTTCTTATTTTAAAAAGGATTTTAAAAGAATGCTACCCTAATACTGAGGAGTATTTAGCAGCATAGCAAATCACATAGAATGAGCTTACATTAATATTTCCTAGAAGGTTGTTTTTAAAGATCTCTTGCTATGTATAAAAATTTAGTGATTCTAATCTCTGATGCATGCCACATATCTAAGCTTGAACCTGCCTATTTAAATTAAGCAGTCACATTTTTAGCCTGAAGTAATAGGGATTAGGCTAAAACCAACTTTCTAAATAGATCGGGTGGGATTTAGATTTGTGAAATATACACACTTGTAGCATATCTAAATGTGATTGCAATAGTAATGATACTTTTAACTATTCTTCTGTAGGAACTGTACTTGTGGAAGAATGGCAGGAAGAAGAGAATCTGAATTATGTTATTAATTTTTTGGAGTACCATTTTTCCCTTCCTAGAACACGTAAAAATATGTTTGGAATTATTGGATATTGCTTCCACCACCACTGTGGTCTGGCCCAGCATTTTACAACTAAAGCTAAGGAAACAATTTGGAAAGATTTCCAGAGCTGACAACCTAAAGGAGTGGGTAACCTACTATTTCCTTACTGTTGGATGCCTCTGTATGCCATTTGCTGGGAAACACAAGTAGGAGGGTACTCTTGCACTCATATCCTACTTAACCAGCTGGCTGGTCTCTTGGTAAGCAAAATTCTGGGTATGATTACCTTTGGCCTGATTCAGCATGGCTGTTCTTGTTCCTATTCTTAAAGGATGACAAGAACTGGAAGGTGATATGATGCCCACCCCTGTTCTAAAGAGTTACATAGGACCTGGGAGCTCAGCAGAATGAAGTGTAAGGTGCTGAGCCAGACCACTGTTTGGTTCTGACTTTTCTTTCCCGAGGAGCAGGAATCTCAGATAGGAGATCTCATGCTGCCATGCAGGCATTGAGGTTTCTGGGCTGGACCTCTTCTCAGACCATCTGCCATCAGATCCTTGGGTCCAAAGGCTGGTCAACGTTAAATCCGCTTCCCAAAATATTTCACTTGTAAGTGGTGAAATATCCCCATAGCCAACCATATGAAAGGAAGAAGAGAAAAGTGTGTAATTCAGCTATGAAATTCTTTCCCATAAGATGAGCATCAGCTTGGATAGCTTTAAAAAGGATTCAGTAAACCATAGAGGATGAGGCCATCAATGGTTTACTAGTCATGATGGCTGTATATTATCTCCAGCTTTCAAAGCAGTTGCTGGGGAACATGACTGGGACAATACTATTGCACTCATATCCACATTTAAACTGTAATCTGCCCAGAATACATTGTGAGTAGAAATGTAACAAATACAAATAAATGAATTGTCCTGCTTCCCATAGGCATTTGTCTGGGCACTGTGGAAAGAGAATATTAAGCTAGCAAGACCCCACATCCACCGGGGGGGGGGGTAGGCAAGGGGGCAGAAAATGTGGGTAGGGGCAGGTGCAGTCTTTATCAATTTGGCCTTTTCTCGCCAAGCACAGAAATACAGAATTAAATTATAAGAAAGACTACTGAGCAGTAATCCCCAAGGCAACAACCCTCATGCCTGCAAAATGTACAAGTCAATTCTTTGAAGTGTGTTTAAAGTTTAGTTGCCCTTAAATATCATCTCACCTTTGATCAACAATCAGAGACCAATAGCCAAAGAAGCCTGTAGTTTTGGCGGGGAATTCCCAAGGGTCACAACCATCTGCTATCCTGCAGACCCTCCATCCTTGTTATAAGCAACATGTTAGTCAAAATATGGCTCAACTGTGAACATCACAGTGAAAAGGTAGGGAAAGATACTCTTGTTTTTCCTTCCTTCAGAGAAAATCACAACTGTAAAAGGGTCATTTACTTGAATGAATGAATAAAAATATATAGACCAGAATCCAAGAACCATGTAATTAGTTTCATGCACTCCAGGGAGCCTTGGTGGTTGTGGTTTTTCAATAGCATGTGCTGGGTTTAGCATGTCACATTTGAAATAACTTCCAAAGCAGTTTGTGGTATGGAACACTCTATTGTTGAAAGAAGATAAATGGTAGAGATCTCACTGAGCATGCTCTTGTCCTTGGGCATGCCTAAAGTGGCTCTTTGGATCTCAGCCATCGTAGGATGTTGAAGGAAAAGCTGATGCTATCTCTGGCAACTGTTTTTTCCCTTGTAGGGAGAACCGATACATGAAAATGCTTTAAGGAAGAATTTGACAAATTGTGCCTAAACACTGATGATTGTTTTAATACAGAAATGGACAGAAACCAGATGGGGATTTACTAAGTGATTTCAACAGGGGTTTGAACTCCTAATGGTTAAAGAAATATAAGACAAAGCTCATTTTTCTTCTAAATCTGTAGAAATTGAGAAATTTGGGGAGAAAAACAGGAGTAGATTTTTACATGAAAAAAATTTGTAGGTTTCAGTTCTAGTGCTAAAAACAAGTGGTGCTGTGTGCAAATTACACTGCTGAAAACAAATTCTTGGGGTGCACTGTGCTTAAAGGCACTTTTTTTTCCTCCATTCTTTGTCTGCCATCTTGAACCTCTGGTTCTAGCAGAAATTTAAAGTAGCTCTTACAAGCCTAAGGTCTACTCACTCCTAACTTCATACATATACATATGTGTGTGTGTGTTTGTATGTGTATATATATATATATATTTCACTTTCTTTTTCAGCGGCGGCTGCTGACAGTTCTCTCAGCTTATTGTCTGATGTAGCCCAAGCAGTGAAAGGCCGAGGTACGATATCGTGGATAGATTGCGGGTATGTAAAATGCTGCCCTTCCTTCTCTGAATTGTCGTAGAGGCTTTGCTAACATTGTGCCCTGCATGTGGTTAGGAGATGGTCACTTGTACAGATTGGGTCTACTTCTGTCAATATAGAGCACTCCAAGCTAGAAGCTTCAGTCTTTGAAGGTGAGCTAGAAGAAGAGAAGCACTTGGAATGTGTTGCTGAAGTGCCAGGTTAACAAATGAGATTAGCTCAGTGGCTAGTGAGAACTGGATTGCCACTGGTTTGCAGAGAGACACTGTAAAACAAGCAGAGCCAGGCCAAGGGCTCATTGTTTAGCCAAACAAGCAGACCAAGTAAGTCACATCTGGCATTCTTGCCATCTGGCCTACAAGCAGCACAATCCCCTCTAAGGGTAGAGCTGGCCCCTTTTGTAGGGAAGGGAGGAGGGTGGTTCAGTTTGGAATCAACTCTTGAGTTGGGCAAGAGCTAATTCCAGCAATCAGAAGGGTCCCTACTTTGATAGATGCTACTGGTTAAACAACTTGATATTACTCCTTCTGTAGCAGAAAGCTAGCCCTCACTGGCCTAGCTTAATAAAGGACTGTATTTTAGAAACCTTTTACTTTGATCTGCTGGAAAGGGAAAAGGGGAGAGACATGCTCATGCTGTGCTTCACATTCTCTCTGGCTTCCAATATAATTTTTAAAGGAATGGTAGCATGCCTCTCTCATGTTCATATATATATTGATATTAAGTGTATCATACACAGCTAATGTCAATACCAATTGTAACACCGTTTTGTAATGCCATACTACTCCTGTATTCTACATGGGCACCTTTCAGACAATATTCTCTTCCCTGCAACTGTACCGAAGAAACGTCAGGAGTTGGTCTCTTGCTTTATGTGCTGCTTCTGTTCTACTTACTGTGTGGAGAAGAATGAACTAGGGGGATAAAACTAAATGAGGAATATGATTGGTCCTGGGAGATCCAGATTGTCTGTGTTTGGGAGGTTTAAAAAATAAAGTGAGATACTATATTTCAGTAAATGTGTAATTTTTGAGCTTGTTTTTATTTATTCATGTGTAAGAGGAATGTGCAGTAGATACAGGTTTACATCTTCTAGGGTACAGCCTTGGAGAGAAATATCTGAACTGGTCCATATTTGACCTGCAAGGTGGGACTAAGGAATTTGATGTCTTCTAGTTGCTAAATCATTTGGATTTCAGTGCCCATTAGTCCCAGCCAGCCTGGTCAGTATACAGAGTTTGTAGGAGTTTTAGTTCAAAATAAATGGACAGCACCAGGTTGGCAACTACTGCTTTAGACATATTATGAGCTTAATATAGTGGTAGGGCGCTCAACAGTCTATGATGCTTTTATTTTAGATAGAATTTTTAGTCTTTACTTATTAGCAAGTTAGAGCTAATTTAGTTCTCGTAATCTCCTTTCTAATTTGCTTATGAAAGTCTGTGAATAAAAACTTTTCATTATATAGGCAAAGTTGATTTAAGTCTCTTCTCTAGTTGATACTTTAAATATAACTTACAATGTACTTAGCACATTTGATGCCTTTCATCTCGACACTGCAGAATGCATCCTGAAACAGTATTTGTAAAGCAATCCTATACATATTTAGATAGGAAAAAAATCCATGACTGGCTGGGGTATTTTGGGAACTGTAGGCGTTTCATCTGTCTAAACATGTGAAGAATTGCCCTTTAATGAATGTTGCATGTTACTTGTATGAGTTATAGAACTGCTCTTCAGAAAGTTACATAATTTAGTCCAAGGTTGGTTAATCACAGATGTATTTGAGAATATTTCTGTAGACTTTGAAATCTTACATTGTACCAGATTATATTGCTTATTTTAATTAATATATCCTTAATAATTTATGTATAGTACTTTAAAAATGTCTATACTACAGCTTCACTCAAAAATGGATTTTAGAGCAATGTATATAAAACCTCAGTCAACAAAATAAATCACAGTCTCAAAATTGAACATAATAAACAAAATTGAAAGATAAGCTATTTATCCACCTGAAACCATATAATAAATTTTAAATACCTAGGCAAATAATAAAAAAGACTTGTCAGACATTAGTACCAGTAAACTTATAATGTTGGCACCAGTTGTACCTTCCTCAGGAGTGCATCCTAAAGTCAAGATGCTAGCACAGAAAAGATTATTTTCTTCGAGATGCACATGATGAATATCTTCCAAATAATAAAATTTGAGAAAGGGCCTCATTTTTCAGTTTTAATGTGTAATCAGGTTAGTTAGAGGGGACATTTGTTTTTCAAGGGCCAGCACCATAATTGGGATCAGAAGTAAAGACCTAGATGATATTGCTTCTTCAGAACTGGTGTAACATGGCCCAACCTAAAAAAGCAATACTGATCTTGTAACTTGAGTTCTTGCCTCACTGGAATTTCTGAATGGGGTTTAAGGGCAGTTCAATAATCTATTGGTTACCAGAGCTATGACCACTGTTTCCAGAAAGGATGCAGCTGGTGAAGCAGAGGAAACAGGTAAAAGGTACTCTAAGCAACACTTGGATCTGTCGTGACAATGCCGGATCAAATGCAGCTGTTCATTTGGTGAAGTGCCCTAGCAAACACAAGTAGTGTGTCAACTTTCCAAATCCTGGAAGCACCTACCCGCAATATGTCTATTTTCAGCTTCAGTGCATTGCCTCTCATCTGTTCCATTGCTGAGTACATTGGCTCATTGGCTCAGCACCTCCAGAGGCACACCTAATTCATATGATTAAGAGATAAAACTGTACTGATAACACTTTACTTCAAAACTTTGAATGACTCTACCCAGTGGATTCATATAGATAGACCAAAATTCCAGGAGGCATGGTGGCCTATTAACCAGAAAATCTCCAAGAGCATTCAAGAATATAAGATACCCTATTTTTCTGGGGATGGACTCTCAATGTTTCTTGCTTCACTGAAGAAGAGGAAAGTGACTGCTGAACTAAACTTCAACAGGAAATGGTTTTACCATGACAACAAATTTACAGAGAACAACCTCCCACCCCAATTCCAAACCTCCAAGAGTTCCTATTCAAGTGAGAAAACTTGGTCAGGAGCATGTCCTACAGAATGTATTGGCTTGATTATTTTTTGAGACACTCATGGTTATCCTGGCAACCATGAACCCATGAGATGGTCTTTGAGAAATAGCCCCAGTACGAAAATCAATGTCCTACCGAATTTCCCAACAGCATCCCAGAGAACCATCTCAGGCAAGGAAACTGATGGGCATGGAGTGACTGACATACCAGCACAATCCGGATCTGTGTCCATGGCCCCAAACCAGGTACAAATACTTAAACCCAGCCCTTGAGAAATCGGATCTCCTGAAAAGGGAGAAGAATTTTGTATAGATAACAGCAAACGCTTCTCATCCTCAGTCTTCTAGCCTGTGTTGGTGCTGTACCGCATACCCAGGTGGATAAATCTGGGACAGCTCCATGCCTCCTAACTCAACTGGTCTCTGATAGTAATCTTTACTCATGGTTAACATTTATATATGATGGAAATGCTAGCAGTCGTACAGAATGATGCTGGCTATTTTCACAATGCGCATGAGTCAGTGTCTTGTAAACTCACATTTCAATTTGCCTCCATTTGTTTTCATCTGTTCTCTAATTGCACTCCTATGCTGATTTCCAGTCTGGAACAATTCCCCCATTTCTTTGAACACGGGAAAATGTCATATTCTACATCTGTACTGTTCATGTTTCTAAGTTTCTTTCCTTAAGGTAGATTAAGGGCTGTGTGAGTGTTCAAGTGTTTTTATCCTCACTGTTTTCTAGAATGACATCTCTTCAATGGACAGGTATTCTGGGGAGGAACTGACCTGGTGTTATCCTCATACAGGTCATGCATACACAGACAGTTCCATTCACAAAGCATACAGTTTATTCCTCTTTCAAGAATTTAAAGTGAATTATGGACTCCTTCAGCTGAAGTTACTGTTAAAATGAACCAAGACCTTGGCCATTATACTTCTCACATCTGCCTTCCTCACTCCTCCCTTGTCTGATGTAACTTGGTCTCATACCAACTCATTAGAGCATCGTGAGGTCCTGTCCTCTCATTCACCTTTTGTCCTGCTTATCTTAAATAGCAAGCTGCTTTACCTCTGTTCCGTGTGGTGTCTGACTGTGTTGTGCCATTAACTAAATGTCACTTCATTCACTTGAGCAGAATCCAATGTCTTCTATTCTCATATGCTGCTTTGGAATCAAACTATCAGGCAGTTGTGGGCAGATGCTTGGAAATACTAATGCTTTCTAGCCCTGTGCTTGGGTTCATTCTTAACATGGTTGTCTTGCTTGAGATATTCTAGCAGAAATTGATACATCTGCTGAAAGCATGATGATGATTTAAAAAGTAGGATGTCAGTGGTAACTAGGAAAAAAGTGTTGCAATCAGAGAAGGGTTTGGGATCACATTTTTTGAGGGGGTAGCTTAATGATTTTGCCTTTGTGACTGTTTCCTTAATTCTTCAGTGAAAGGCACTGTGCTGCTTTAGGTATTTTGCTCTGAATGATTTTCCAAGATTAATCGATTCAATTTGCTCATGCTTATCTTTCCAACAGGCAAACTATGGCTAGATCTTAGAATATTGTCTCTTTGTTGGCCAAAATAAGTCCCCCCCCCCCACCCTTGCAGTCAGAAAGGCTGAAACTGTGAGTCCTACCACATGTTCTTCAGAGAAAGATCCTCCCCCATTGCAAGCATATTCTGTAACTGCTTGGTGGATCTTAGGGCTGAAGGAACAAATTATATGGTTGTTGGGGTGCTTACTGTGCAGACTCAATTTGTTTGACAAATATTGACAAGCAATGGTTTGCTTGGCAGCTCTATCTTCATCTCGCTGTAGCAGATAGATTTTTTGGCTTTATAGTGAACATTCTGAAAGAGAGTGGGGGGAGAACCCTTTAGAATGTGTGTTGGCAAGGCTACTCGGCATGCTGTGCTGTGGCTTGCTGCCTTCTGCTCTCC